AATACCATCCCACCTGGACCCAAACCCCAACCCTATTCTTGTAACTCCACATTTACCATGGCTAATCCAGCTTGCCTGCACACCCGTGGACACTATGGGACAATGTAGCATGGCCAATCCACCTAACCTGCACATCTTTGGACTGTGGGAGAAAACTGGAGCATCCAGAGGAAACCCACGCAGACACAGGGAAAACGTGCAAACTCCGCACAGTCACCCAAAGCTAGAAATGAATCTGGGTCTATGGCGCTGTGAGGCAGCTGTGCTAACCACTGCAAACATGCCACTCCTCTATCTAATTCTTTCTTGAAAATATTCAATGTCTTGGCCTCAGCTATTTCCTGTGGCAGAAAAATCTCCAAGTTCACTATTCTCTGGGTGAAGAAATTTTTTCTCATCTCAATCCTTTTACTTTTATCCTTAAACCTCTGGTTCTGAATTTGCCAGTCTGGAAATATTTACCCTGTCTATTCTACTTAGAATTTAATATGTTTCTATGAGATGACCCCTCATTCTTCTAAATGCCAGTGAACATAGTCCTTATTGATCCAATCTTTTCTTCATTTATCAGTCCTACCATCCTCGGAATCAATCTGGTAAACCTTTATTGCACTCTCTCCATAGCCAGAATGCCCTTCAGCAGACAAAGAGAGCAAAACTACACACAATACTCCAGATGCCATCTCACCAAGGCCCTGTACAATTTTAGCAATATATTCCTACACATGAACTCCAACATACCATTTGCCATCTTTACTGCCTCTTACACCTGCAAGCTCACCTTCAGTGACTGGTGTATGAGGACATCCATACTCTTGTCGTACCTTCACACTTCCTAATCTATCGCCATTCAGATAATAATCTATTGGCCCATTTTTGCAACCAAAATGGATGACTTCACATTTATTGACATTATACTTCATCTTCCATGAATTTGCCCACTCACAACTCAAACAACCATCTCTGCATCCTCCTCACAGCTCATTCTCCCGCCCAGCTTTGCGTTGCCTGCAAATATGGGAAATATTATATTTAGTTGCCTCATCTAGTTCATGAATATATATTGTAAATAGCTGGGATCTGAGCACTGATACTAGTCACAGCCTACCACTCAGAAAAAGACCTGTTTGATTCTACGCTTCAGTCCCTGTTCGTCAGCTATTCTCTGTTCATATCAGTACATTACCCAAACGTCCATGCGTTTAATGTACTTAACCATTTCATAAGATCATGGCTAATATGATCCTGGCCTCAACCATGCTTTGTTGTCTACCTTCTGTAACCTTTGACACCTATTTCAATCAAGATTTTATCCATCTCTATTATTAAAAATAATTCAGTGACCTCGCCCCTTTATCATGAAGCAAATTCCACAGATCGACAACTTGCAGAACAAATTTCTCCTTATCTCATCTTAAATGAGAGGTTACTTACTTTCAAACTTCGCTCCCTAGATTGGTCTATCCCACAAGGGGAAACAACCTTTCAGCATCCACCCTGTCAACTCTACTCAGGATTTTATACGTTTCAGCAATTCAGGAATCACACACTTCTAAATCCCAATAGGTACGGGCCCAAACAGTCCAACCTTTCATCATAAGATAAACCCTAATAAAAACAGCAGGAGACAGGATAATCCAATGACAGAATGCAGCATTTATCCATGTCAATCTGTGGTTTGCGATTGGGCCGATCATGTTTTGAGATAAACTAAAACTATAACATCACAAGAACATGGTTGATTAGTTGATGTGTGTTTTTCCCATTTATCTTTCAAAACTTGGGTCAAACTACTAATTATAATTTGTTATTCATAGTGGCAAGGCTTACTACTACTTATTATGTTGAAATTTCCTAGTTAAGATAAACCAATCAGGGTAAGAAAAACACTTACTGAAATGCCAAAAATTGAAGTAGAAATTGGACGTTAATTAATTAAATGCTATGAAGGTGGCAGGACAGGAAATGTATAGCAGCTGCGGAATGTGAGGACTCATGGATATTCCTGTGGCAAACATATCTGCAATTGTGCCTGAGGCTGGAGGGACTTCAGCTCTTGGTCACTGAGCTGGAAGCGAAGCTGAAGATGCTGTGACAAATCAGAGAAGGGAATGTTACCAGGACACATTGTTTCAAGAGATCGTCACACCCCTTGGAGTAGGATACTCTGGTTTGTTCAATGATCAGGGACAGAACAGTGCGACCGCCAGTGAGGCAGGTATGATCAAAAGGGCAGAAGTAGAAGAGAGTCAGCCTTTGCTATAGTGCAATATATTCAACGTTCTGGCAACCTGTACAGATGAAAGCAGAACACTGCAGAGTTGGTGATCAAACAGATATACAGGAAGCCATTCAAGAAGTTTATTAGAAATGTCATGGCAATACAGATAGTATAATCTTGGAGATAGACACAGTTCTCTTTAGCTGAGAACAACAGTCCAGATGTTTATGTTTCCTGCCTGGGTGGGACTGGAAAGTGCGAAGGGAGAGGAAGGATCCATTTGTCATTGATCCATGTAGGTGCCAATGACATTGATAAGACAAGGTTAAGAGGTTCTGCTTAGAACATATGAGCAGTTGGGGGCAAAATTAAAAAGACCATCAAAGCTCTCGATTGGTAGATGAATCACATGCACATTGGAAGAGCATATAGAAGATTACAGAGTGAAATTTGTATTTCAAAGGTTGGTGTGGAAAAAATTGGTCTCAGTTCCTTTGAAATTAACACCAGTACTGAGGTGAGTGGAAGCTGTACGGTTAGGACACTTTGAACTGTTAGTAGTTCCGACAGTTTGCTCGCTACACTTTTCCTGATTACAATTGTTTAAAAATGTTCCTCTCTTGCTTTCACCTCTTGATTTACAAATATTTGAGTTGTTGTTTGTGTCTTTTAATGTTTCTGCCATTGCCTTAGCTTTCTCCCACACACTTAGTTTCTCCCTTCATTTTTGAGTTATCCTTGGTTGCTTTTTAAATTCTGTCCATCTCCTTTTTGCAGAATCATATGCTTTTACTTTTGATACTATATTCAACTTCTTTAGTTAGCCACGTTGGGGGGGATTGGTGGAGGAAAAGTGAGGGTGGAGTTGGGGGAGAGATGGTGGGGTGAGGAGAGGACAGAGGGGAGGTGGGGTGAAGGGAGGGAACCCAGGAAATGAGACGGGGAGAGAAGGTGGGGCAGGGACCAAGGAGAGTTGGTGTCTCTACTTGCCCCACCGCCCCTTCACAGCTCTCTCCTCACCCCACAGCCCTAATTCCTTCCACACCTCAATTCCATCCTTGTGCATCCTGACTCTGGTTCAAAAGTAAGTGCTTCATTGTGCACATGCAGTGCGGTACTTGGCATATGACCATACACTCCATGTGATGGTAACTGTGTCAGGAATTATGCACATATGCCTTTCTGGATTGGTGCACATGCATAGTTGCCTGCTTTTATGGGTGTCAACACACACTGCCAAGTTTAAAACACTTGTCATTAGACCCACTCTTTCCCTTAAGCCAAATTTAACTGTGTCATTATCATTGCTTTCAAAGGTTCCTTTACAGTGATGTCATTAATTAAGCCTGTCTCACTGCACACTGCCACGTCTAAACTTGCTTCAAATCTGGTTGGCTCTAGGACATAATGCTCTAAGAAACTATCCCAAACACATTATGAACTCTTCTTTCAGGTTAGCTTTGCCAATCTGATCTGTCCAATCTATATTTAGATTAAAGTCACTTATGATAATTGCTGTGTTTTTCTTAGGGAACCATTTTGTTTTACCATGTATACCTCATCCTATAATATTGTTACTGGTAAAGTGTTAAGAAATATTTCCACATTTGAATTCTTCCTTTTGCTGCTTCTAATCCCTACCCAAACAGCTTGATCTTTAGAACTAAGGTCACCTCTCCCAGCTGTAGTGAAACCATCCATAAGTAACACAGCAACCCCACCATGCTTTCATGACATTATATTCTTCCAGAATATCAAATATAGTTGAATATTCTGGTTCCAAGAGATGTCACCTGACTGCAAAGCCTCTGTAATAGCTATCAGATGAGACATTTATTTTCATTTGAGCAAAGAAGCATCTGTTCTATAACAAATGCTAAAGGCGCTCACATTCAGAAGTCTTTAGTTGTCATCTTAATATTTTTGAAAAGTTGGGCCTCAGCTGTTAGTGGACCCAAGTTTGTACACTCAGTTCCTTCTTGCCATCCTCTGTTTGTCATTACCTTTATTGTACAATTAATTATCCAATGATAAACGTGGGGCTATGGCAATTAAAAAGTGGGCTGTAAAAGGTAAACAGCTGATTATAAGGTGCAGTTATCAAAGTATTCACAAACTTAGACCTAAGAAAATAGTTTAGATACAGTTTCAATTCATGCCAAATTAGGAATAGTTTTGAACCATAACCCCTACAAACTCCTAAAACTATTTCATATCAAATCCTTATCGCCAACAGACAGTGAAGACTTCCATTACATTTTAACTGAGAGTCATTTAGATAAATTAACAAGCAGGTGTTAAAACGTATTGATCCCTCGGAATCATAGTCACAAGGATGAACAGACCACGACTCATTGTAATGATGAGAGGGTAGAGATCTAAAAGGATAAATTAAATAAAATTAAAGAGAGTTGCTAATTTAATTACTTCTATGTCATTGTCAGAACTCTGAAGTTGCCCAGTGATATAAATATAATGAAATCAGACCAGCAGCAGCCTTCCATTATGAATAATTTTGAAGTATAAATGGAATACTACATTACAAAACACCATTTCAGAAGAATTAACGGTCTTTTTATTGTCAAGTACATCTGTTGAAATTTCCTTAAGGACTTAATTACAACTAAAATTAAAGCTTACATTGATAATCTGACATTAAAATGGAGAGGAAAATAATCAACTTGCTGATGTTATGTTAGTATAGATTAACATTAATGCATTATTATAGCTTACTTCTATGTAGAAACATGTATATGTTTCATGCAGATTCTTAACTTACAATAGGATTTCCATATCGGTGGTTGATACTCTTCAGCATCTAGAAAATAAAAGAGAGATTTGCCTGTTAAAAAAGTTAGTACATATTTTGTTCAAAATTCCTTGATTCCCTCATTATTTATAAACTGTTTATGCAAATATATAATTTATATGCATTTCATACATACCCCAACACAAAGAGCTAGGAGGACCCTTTGTAAAATCATCAAAATATATGAATATGTATAAGTATCCTACCACGTAGATTAGCATTTTATTACAAATACTGTTTCATAGTATAATCAAAATGATTCTAAGAATAAAATCAGAGTTGCAGGTGAATAAATGATTTTGGAAGGACACATTTAAGTTATACTATTATAAGACGTAAAATCTTGAGTATTAGTAAATGTCTTAACAGTATACTTTGCTTACATCTTTATATTGCTAATACAATTGAAAACTGCAATTGTATGTCATTTTAAACCGACTCGCTATTGACAAGCAAGCCTAAACAATTCCTTCATATTGCACACAAGCACAATCGTAATTTATTTTTAATCAACTCGTGACATGTCATGCCATACCTCTGGGGCAAGTGGGACTTGAACCCGGATCTTCTGAGTAAACGTAGGAGTGCTACCACTGTATAGCAAGACCCTGCTTTTGGGAACTCTACACGGATGCTTGGAAATATGGTACATTGATCAGTACAGGGATTGAAGCTATAAAGCTTGGCATTATTAGCACAAAACACTAATCATGTGGGCTCACCAGCCGCTGATGCTGAGCAGAATTTCAGCTTTGCTCCTGGTGGTATGCATTTTCTGACTAAAGCCAGCAAACCAGAATTAAGGTTTATGTTGTCCTTTGCAGAATCACAAGCACCTTCACATAGTGGAACCTGCAGCACCTTGTAATAATACAGTTTCTGTCCAGCATAGAGTTCACTTGGACCATGTCCAGGAGATAAGTGCAAAGCTGCATCTTTGTCTCACATCTTCTCCACAGGTTTTAAAAATTTGTTCACAGCATGAGAGTGGTGCTGGCTAAGTTCCAGTTGTGGATAGGGAAGTATTTTATTTAGTTTGAGAAGAAAAAGTGAAATTTGTATTTTATTTTAATCACAGCCACTTCTGTACTTTCGTAGGCTCAGAATGCAGTTACGTCACCAGGATGCATTCAAGTTGTCAATCTGTTTCTCTTACCCAAGATGTATAAATTCTCACAGTTCACAGATACATAAATGAAAAATAACTAAATTTGAGAATTTGTCAACTTTTATAGGTTTCTTAAACAGCCCATGTGAAATGTTAGATCAAGGCACGGCAATACCTACATTTCTGATTTTAAATGGTTTGTCATAAGAACACAGGTAAATTTAAGCAGTTGGCCATTCAGCCCCTTGAGCCTGTTCCCTCATTCTAGATCATATGTGATCATCCACCTCAAAGCAGAATTCCTGTGCTATTCCCAGAACCCTTGATGTCATGAGTAACTAGAAATCTTATCAATCCTTAATACCGGAGCTTCCACAGACCTCTTGTGCCAGAGATTTCCAAGATTCACTACCCACCAAGTGAAGAAATTCATCCTCAGTTCACTTCAGTCCTAAATGGGTTGCCTTTTATTCTGAGACTGTGCCTTGGTTGTAGACCCCACGCCAGGGAAAAATTATTTCTGGATCCAGTCAGTCTATCCCTTTCAGTAGTTGTAAGTTTCTATGAGATTGCATTTCATTCCTCTAAACTCCAGCAAGTAGAGGCCCAGTTTCCACAAATTTCTCATCATAGGATAATGCCACCATTCCAGCAATCAATCTGGTAAACCTAGGCAGCACACCCTCTATGACAAGGAGGCAAGAACTGAACGAGTATTCACCAGGGATATTTACAAGTGAAACTAGACTTCTTTGCCTTTCTACCCGATCTTCTTGCAATGAAGACTAAACACGTTGCTTGCCTTCCAAGTTGGTTAGCTTTCAGTTACTCATGAACAAGGACACCTAGGTCCCTTTGAGCATCAGCACTTTTCAATATTGCATCATTTAAGAAATACTACACACATTTATTATTAACTCACACTTATCCACATTACATTTCATCTGCCATGCCATTAGCCACTCACTCAGTTTGTTTAAATATCCTTGAAATCTGTTTGTATCCTGCTTATAACTCACGTTCCCACCAGGTTTTGTACTGCGAGCAAATTTGGAAATATTACAATTGATCCCCACATCTAAATCAATGATATAGATTGCGAACAGCACTGATTTTTGCAGTGCCTCACTGGTCACCTGTGAATGACCCATTTATTCCTTAATCCAGTTTGTTAAGCAATTCTCAAGCCATGCTACTATCTGATCTTTGAAGAAAGAAGCTGGTATTGTTTGCCAGCTGCTGTTAAAGTCTAAAGACCCTAGATTAGGAACTGTATTTCCTGCTTACTAGTCTTCTGACACTATCCATTTTTCTTTTGATATTCAATGTTTAGATATTAATGCCCCTACTACCTCCTCATTGCTTTTATCTTTTTTTAAATCAACCTATTCAGAGATTGTATTACACATTTCTGGAGGAGGTATGGATACTACCACTTCGACTCAAAAGACATCTTCATGTCGTCACAGCCCTAAAATTTGCTGATTAGCCAAAATAGAAAAAAAAAATGAAGCCCACTTTATTGGAAAGGTCAATCTGATAGTGACATAATAATTAGAAAGATCACTGGCTTTAATATTTTCTATGTCTTGCTGAAGGGATGTGTGTGTTTACAACACAATAGCTGAGTAACTGAACTGATGGCACAGAGTGTCTGGTTAAAGTTCTGTTTAAAACAGATACATTACACGAGATGTGTGTTGTACCATTTGTCAGTCAAAGCTGTTAATACATTGTGCTGTGTGAATATCACAAGATTGTTTGGAAGACATTAAAACTGCAAGGAAATAGCTTATGTGAGTAGCCTGAACAAGCTGGCCTAAGGTCAAGATTCATTAAAACTGTGAGATAAGTCTTGTTCTATTAAAACCAAGCAGTTGCATTAATGATCAAAAGATTAAACTGTCACACTTATGATGTTTTAACTGGTGGTCAAACTGACCAACTGCTGAAGACTAGACAGTGTCAAGGTTTCATCACAGGCTGCTGGTGTGGCAAAGGAATACAAGCAAGCATGTCTCAGAGTGACTGAGACTAGCTCGAGGACTGGAGTCATCTGATCAGTAAATGGAGGTTGAAACAGTGTGAGCTGGTCACCTGTTTCAGTCTGATCCTCAGACAAGTCCATGTAAACTGGTTCACTTTTGGTTGTAAGCATAATGTGGATAAGCTTCCATTGACTTACTATTTTGCAGTATCTTATTCTGTACTTTGTTTTAATAAATAACATCTGGGTAATGCTGTTGTTAGAAGTGCTTCTCCTTTGATTACTCACACAACTGAACTGAAGATTTGCTCAGCTTTGAATAACCCCTGCATTGTTCTAGCAAACACTTCTGAAGTGGAACTTTCAACTAAAACCCTTATCCTGAGGTAACCTATTTCCTGACTTCTCTGAACTAGCTCCTTTACAAGAGTCTTTCACATCACACTTCCACTGTTAATCAGGACTCCTGCAAACTGAAAACAAAGGTTTCCATGTTGTGCATTTTTCCCTCTAAACAAAACAAAATTCCTGATTCTTCCAAATGGAACTAAGCTTATGCTTATGCATCTGTCTGTGTGGTGTTTGCACGATCCCCTCTGTGTCTGCATGGGTTTTCGCCGAGCGCTCCGGTTCCCTCCCCCAATCCAAAGATGTGCAAGTTAAGTGGATTGGCCATGCTAAATTACCCATAGTGTTCAGGGATGGCTAGGTTAGATGCGTAGGCCATGGGAAATGCAGGGTTACAGGTCAGGGTAGGGGGAATGGGTCTGAGTGGAATGGTCTTTGGAGGGTCTCGGTGTGGACTTATAGGACCAAATGGTCTGTTTCCACATTGTGGGGATTCTAATTAAAAAAAAAGCAAAATACTGAAGATGCTGGAAATCAGAAATGAAATAAAAAGTGCTGGAGAAACTTAGCAGATTTGGCAGCATCTGGGGAGAGAGAGAGAGGGAGAGACGGAGAGAGAGAGAGACAGAGCAGTATTTCGACTCCAGTATTACTCTTCTTCAGTCAGATAGGAATCTTGTACCATGTTGTATAAGGCCCACCCTATTCTCTTTCATTTACTCTCCCCATCATTTTATATGGGGCAGTTGAAACCCACACAATTCAGGAAAAACCATAAACAGTTGAGCCAAAAACCCAAACAACATGTCATGCAACTGCAGGCTAGAACAAAGACACAAGTAAATTTTGAGACAACCAATGCAGCCAATGGAAGCTATGGGAATTTCTCAAGGAATTCCCACTTCAGAATCTCGGTTAATAATGCCATATGCTCGTTTAGTCACCAGACTTCAAAGTCATCTGAATCAAATGGATGCTCTCACACTACATTAGCATTTAGTCATGGAGTCATAGAAATATACAGCACAGAAACAGACCCTTCGATCCAACTCGTTCATGCTGACCAGATATCCTAAATAAACTTAATCCCATTTGCCAGCATTTGGCTCACATCTCTCTCAACCTTTCCTATTCATATACCCATCCAGATGCCTTTTAAATGTCGTTATTATACCAGCCTCCACCTCTTCCTCTGCTGCTCATTCCATACACGCACCACATTCTCTGAAAAAATTGCCTCTTAGGTCCCTTTTAAATCTTTTCCTGCTCACCTTAAACCTATGCCCTCTAGTTTTGGACTACCCCAAGCTGGGGAAAAGATCTTGTCTATTTACCCTATCCATGCCCCTCATGATTTTATAAACCTCTATAAGGTCACCCCTTAGCCTCTGACGCTCCAGGGAAAATAACCCCAGTCTATTCAGCTTCTCCCTATAGCTGAAACCCTCCAACCCTAATAATAACAACCTCGCAAATCTTTTCTGAACCCTTTCAAGTTTCACAACATCTTTCCTATGGCAGGGAGACCAGAATCGCAAGCAGTATTCCAAAGGTGGCCTAACCAAT